TCAAAACAACCCAATAGCTGGGTTTGTCCCTTTTTAACCCAGCATTTTTTAGAGTGTATATGATAAATTAGTTACCTCTAATAAATTTTTTTTTTTTTTTCAAATAATGCTCAGAACAATATACAGAATACAATATATAGACAGCAACAAGTTACAATGAGAAACAAAATAAAACGGGGATTAAAAGCAAATGGTGACAAGTTTTGATAATTGCATTTTACTAAAGAATTGCAAAGCTTTTTTGTTCTTAGACAATTTAATTGACTATTTCTTTCATAAAAACAAAAAAAGAGACGTCTAGAATTTGAATATTTGGATCGGTGAATGTGGGAATTGGTAAGCATCAGATTTATTAATAAAATGTACATTTTTAAGACTTATGTAGACTTATACATCTCACTCCTAACTTAGTGAAATAATTCCACTTGTGCATTTCACTTCTAATAAAACCTGAAAATCTTGGACGGGGACAAATTATATTTATGTCAGCAGATGTTATGTAAGGCATGTCTTGTCTGAAAAAAAAGTTTTTTTTAAAATTATATTTATTTAAAACATTTAAATAAATTATATATAAATAAATATACTAAATTATATTTATTAAAAAAATGTACTATGCGTGTTGATGAAACTGTTATACAATCAATTAATTGTATAACAATATTAATTACAGTTTTTCTTTTTGTTTGTAACATTTATCAGCTATCAATAGAAGTTTTCATACCGACATTCAAAACCGCTCGATTCTGTAAACTGAATCGATTCATTGGAAAGATCCGACTCAGAAGAACGACTCGTTTGCGCGTCTGACAATTCTATTATGTTTCACTGGAAAACATGCCTCATTTAGGAACAATAAATGCATTCCGATTGTCATTACTGTTGAAAAGCAGAAAATTAATTATCTGACGAAAATATTAAGGAGTTTAATATACTACTTAAACCGATATTTTAAAAGTATAAACACACCTGAAACTGTGTTGAGCTCCCTAAATGAAAAGTCCACTGGAGATCCAAACATGTTCCGACTGCAGAAAACAAGATTAAAAACTACAAATTGCAATAAGAAAATGTGATTAATCTTAAAACGAAGTTTAAGGCCTTAAAGCAAAAAAGTACGGATTTACATACAGTGGCAATTAAAATGTAAACCCAAAATAAATCAGTAATTTTATCAACTCATCACCATTGTCGTGAATTTTAAGTGTTACCCATAACAGCTCTCGGGTCACGCCAGCAACAAAGTTACCATGGAAACCATCGTCATAGTATAGCATTCTTGGGAAATGTAGTTCGTTCGTTTCTGGTGCGATTTCTTTTTTCGTACTTCGCTTTCTTTGTCCGTTTCATCATTAAATATGGTTATGAACTCTATATTTTCTAAATTCTCTAAAACTAAAAGTGGAATATACGTGACATTTGGTGTTTCCCAAAAAAAAGTGGAGAGATTTGAAAGACTACAGGGGCGTTGCGGAAGAAGCAGCGTTTCCATTGGCTACTTTGATTTGAGACAGCCAATGAGAACGAAGCATGACGACCAATAGCTGTTCAAATACAGTAAACGCTGAGAGTTTGAATTTAAAAACGTTTCAGCGAGTGATTCGATGTGTGTCCTTGCTTCATCTCACCCTAAAATCAAGGTAAAAAAAAAACATTTAATTCATTAATATATAAAAATTATATTCAGCTTTATATGGCATTTTGTGAGGGTATTGTTTTTGAAGTTTAAACTTTGTAAAAAGTTAGCGGGCAAAACGTTGCAGAGTAAACAAACGATTCAAAACACACTTGCTTCCTTGTTGATTATAATTATACTGCAGGTATGATTATATTGCGTTTATCTGCCCTGCATAACACTTTGGCATGTTTATATTAAGGCTATAGATGTGCAATATATTTTAAAATAGATATGTGTTTGTGATTTTATTCAGTGCATAACGTTAGGTGTGGATTTTGTTCATTATCATCAAAATACACAAATGTTGTCTTGTATCCTTAGAATTGTTCACTTTGGCCTGTTGTAGCATATTTTATTCAGAAGTCTAAAACTAGGTGTAAACATTAAGCAAGCTTCTTTGGGTGTGATATTTTCCTAGTTTAATTACAACAGGACTTTGCCATTAAATATTAAGCCTTGGTTTGTTTCTTCTTCCACCTTATGTGCTGTAGTAAAATTTTAAAATATGTTTTTAATAGAGCCATGAAGTTTAATATGAACAAGGCGGGACCGCTTTTGGCATGGGTAAGAGTGTCATCCAATTTTGCTGTTTATTCAAAAAACTGAGTAATATATGAGATTAGTAGTCTCAGTTATTGTAGTCTGTTGACATGTTTAAGTGTTGTAACATCAGTTTTATAGTTTAAAACACTTAATGTTCTTCTATGATGTTTTATATGGTGACTGTTGTTCTTTTGACAGATAAACACCATGTTTCCAGAGAAGCACCTCTGGGAGTTCATTCCGATGAGAGATGGGCTTCGACTCCTGAAGATCTGCTTCAAACTGTGAGTTGTCACTTTGAGACTCTTGGGTGGTAAATATGGAAATACCTTGATAACTAGCACTAACTTTATTTACTTCTGACAAATGCATTATCTGTTACTTTAGAAGGCGGATGGAGAACACCGAGGATTTTAAGACTTTGTCCCTCTATAAGAAAGTGGAAATAATCTTCAATGTTTTGCAGGGTGAGTTAGTCTTTTTGGAATTTCATGCTTTTGTGCTTCATTTTTAGACTAATGCTGGACTGGGCAGTGAATGTGAAATGTTGTAGTAGTGACAAATTATGCTTTATTGGCAGTATTTGTGGTATAATGTTGATTAACACAGAACATACTTTTACATATGTCTCATTGTTTTTGAAAAGCGTGGATACGGAAAGGCACTTGAAAGTGACTTGAGCTATTTATTAATCAACCTGTAATGTTTGCATGATATGAAACATATAAGAATAGTTTACATTTAGAAATATAGCCTATACTTGTAATTTTATATACTAAGGTTCCTGTATTACAACTTCTCTCCTCCGTCGAATTGGCCATTCAAGACTCACTCAGTCATATTTATTGAAACGAGAAGAGAAACCAGTCTGTGACTTGTGTAAGAATTTTTTAAAACATATTTTAATAGCATGTCCAATTTTAAACGACATTAGACCACGATGTTATTCAGAAAATATACTAAAAGACATTTTTTTTAAAAGTCTCTCCTGGAAGAATTTTAGAATTTTTGTCACTGATTTAACTGAAATATTGTATATGAGTACTGTTGTTGTTTCTTGTATGTTTTTGTATAATGAAAATAGCCATTGTTGCTGATATGGCGTTAAAACATAAATAAACTTCTCTCCTCCATGTGCAGACGACTTTCACCTCACCAAAAGCCAAAGTTCCCTCATCTTGCAGAAGATCAGTGGAGGGACTGACCTTGAGCTTCAGCTGGCCAAGGTGTGTATTTGTAAATTTGTGCTCTAAATCAGGGGTTTTCAAACTCAAATGCATAATAAAAAAATATTAAAATAAATAACTAAAAATTGCAATAAAATGAAATTAAAATAAATACATTAAAATAGATTAAAAATATTACTCATAATTAAATTAAGTGTTAATAATACAAAAAAAATTATTATAGTAAATAATTAATACTCCTAAAATAATAATTAGGATGGGGGTCTGATTGCATGAGAATGATCATATTTGGGGTCTGTGGCATCTAAAAGATTGGAAATCCATTGAAAATGACATGCTGCTAATAGCTTTGTATTTATGCTGCATGTCTGGAAATTTTTTTGCATAACAAAAACTAAATCATGTCATTACGTTTTCATTTACATTTAATAACAAACCATTATTAAAGTGGTTCATATGACTGACTTATTCTCCTAGATTCTAAGTTTTCTGAAGCTTTGTATGAAGAACAGACCAAAATGAAAGACATTAACTTTGCGGAGTTCACTACATGTTTGTGACTGTGGTCGCTTACACTAAGCTTAATTTTTGGATGAATTGTTGCTTTAATGCTATGCAGGAGATGTTGTGCATTTATTTGTGTTAATGTGTGTGCACAGGTGGCGCTTCTGCTTTGTTACTGCACTTTTAAAAAGGGCATCCTGCTCCCCATGGATTCGAATATAGAGGTGAGTGTTTACTAATGACCAGTCTGTCACTTATTAAATGCTTTGCTTTTCTTAGCTCCGTATATATTGCTGCTACAACAAATATTGAATTTTGAAATAATGTATGTTCTTATGTGTCTCTCTTTCTCTGTCTGTGTCAGTCGGCAATTACATCCATGTTTCGTTTTGTAAAAGATGATGCTGATGGTCTGTCTTTAGACGAAGGCCTAGATCAGTTTCTAGACCAAAACTGTAAGTAGCCACGTTATTGAGTATTATCATATTTTCTTTATTCAACGTTACGGTGCATCAGTGTTTTCGAGAGAGCGAATTGGATAATGTTAAGTTAAATCTATGCTCGTCTATTAATCATCTGTCTTGTACACACTGTGTAGCTGGTAAGAACGTTGCGAACTCCAGCAGTATGAGCAGTGGCAGCTCTCTGTTAAATACAGATGACGAGTCTCCGATCGTCGGCCGGTTCCAGCGGCCTCCTAGAGTTCAGTTTCAAGAGCTTTGCACAGTGGCTTCCAGCTCGGACTGGTCAGTGTTTTTTTTTTTTTTTTTGCTGATCCCATGGTGAAGAACAAAGAAGCTTCATGACTAAAACCATGCAAAATGTTAAAAGAGTCACTGCTTCTGAAAGTTGTAACTGTATGGTGACAAATAAGGCAATGCTAATAGAAAATGCTTTTGTTTACAGTAAAAATCAGCATTTTGTTAAATAATATAACGGACTTTTTACATGTTCATATTTAAAGGAGTTTGTGCATTTGTTTTTTCAAATTTGACAGCATTTGTGGCATAATGTTGATTACCACAAAAATGTATTTCCACTTTTTCCCTCCTTTTTTTTTTTTTTACTTTTAAACTTCTTTTTAAACGAAAATTTACAATGGAAATTATAATCAATTTGTCTACATTAAAATACTTTAATGTTTCAATAGTATAGCCACAAGACATAAACAATGTGCACATTAACACGATTTGATTGTGAAAAAATTGCTTACTAACATTTTTTGTAGAAAGTTATATACAATTTTAGGTCACACTTTAGTTTGAGGACCAATTCTCACTATTAACTACAACTTTTGCCTCAATAAACCCCTAATTTGCTGTTTAATCTTTAGTAAGGTAGTTATTACAACACAATTTCATAAATCCTAAAACGACATTTCGCTTTCAGCAAAGACCGAAATTATCTTTGTTTTAATGTCCCCCTTGAGGGCAATTTGTTCTGCAGCATGGATTGCAATCACATACACATCAACAAATATAAAATGTCAGTAGTAATAATACATTAAACATTATATATGTTCTGAAATATTAATAATAAGTTACTAAATAATATCCCTACATCCTTGACCTCCAGCTCTCCAGTGCAGGACGTAATGAGCACCCCACATTTCCAATTGAAGAGACTTCGGAAAGAATTGGCGCATGAGGGAGACGTGAGAGACGAGCTGGAGAAAGAACTGGCCAATCAGATCAGCATCATCTCAGAGAAAGGTACTCATAAGTCATCCATCACCATGTTTCCTTTAATTTTATTATGCTGCCTGAAGTGAACGAGATGAACTATGGTGCTCTGATATGAACTTGGTTCAATTACTTTTTCTCTTTTGCACACAGAGGGTCTGATTTCGCAGTTACAGCACAGGGTGGAGCGAATGCTGCGGGAACAAGGAGAGCTGGAGAAGGACCATAAAGCCGCACTGCTGGAGCTCCAGGAGAAGAACGAGAGGTGAGGTGCAATATGGGACACATTTGGGTTTACAGTAATTATTTGAATAAAACGTTTGTTTTAAAGTGATTTTTTTTTCTTTCTTGTACAGTCTTCTCCACAGAGTGCATGAGGTTCTAAAGCAATGCCAATACTTAAAAACAGACAACTCCCAAAAAGAGAGAAAGATTGATGAACTGACAGAGGAGAATGGAGCACTTACTGCACAGGTGAGATACTGTTTTTATTTTTTTTATTTTTTTTTGAAGTCCTGCTTAAAGTCATGATCAGATCATTTTTACCTGTCTCTGGTCCCATCAGGTGCGAAACACCTTCGATCAGCTGGTGAGAGCCGAGGAAGAAGTTGCCAAACTCACACTGGCTCACGAATTGGCAGAGACTGAGTGGAAGAGCAGAAAAGATTTTCTGGAGAAGGAGTTAAATGAGGCCGTCACACAAAGGGTCGATAATTTCAATTATATTGAAATTATATTATTTTGTTAATCATGTTCTGCATGTTTTTACATTGTACTCTCTGGTGTTAATCTGTGTTCTTTTTTCCTGCTCCTGTTCTCCTTGTGCAGGATTGTCTGAGTGAGCAGGTTCAGATCCTTCAGGGAAAGATCTCCGTTCTGGAGGATGAACTCCAGAAAGCTAAATCTCAGGAGAAAGGAGAGGTTTTGGGGCCCATCTTGGAGGTGAGATGTTCTATCATTCTTTCATAATAATTTTCTTTCTTATGTTCAGTATTTCAATATTTTTTCAGTCATAGACATTTCTGATTATGATTGGACAGCATATATATGTGACAACAGTATTTCTTATAGAACTGAAAACAACATCACGGAATTGACCAATTCTGACTAACATTTTTAATCATTACATTTTCTCAGTGGGAGGAGCTTAAGCAGGAGTTGGCAGATCTGACTCTTAAACTCGCTCAGCTTCAGGACACTATTTTCCATCTTGAGAAGGAGAAGGCAGAAGTTGAGGCTTTGCTGGCTGAGGAGAGAGGCTCTTTTGAAAAGGAAACCAAAAGACTCCAAATGGCGGTGTTCGATCTGGAGCAGTCCATCAATAACATCCGTTTAGAGAGAGAAACACTGCAGGAGGCTTTATGGACACAGAAGGAAATGCTTACCGCACAGATATCAGCTCTGGAAAGTGACGTTTCTCGCCTGCAACAGGTGGAAGTGCAGTTGACGGCAGAGATCAAAATCTCTGCTGACCTTCGCCAACAGAGAGAGGAACTGGAGGGGAAGGTAGCCTCTTTAGATAAGATGGTTAATGCTCTGCACACTGAGATCCAGGGTTTAGAAGTGGAGAGAGCATCACAGCAGGACGCCCTGAATGCCCTTATCGTTGACTTGCAAAGCGCCAGAGCCACCATTCAGGAATATGAGAAGAAGCTGGAAGAGCATCAAAAAGTTGTACAAGAGAATGAATCCCTGAAAAAGGAGGCATGCACATTACAGCAGGAGCTTGATGAGCATCTGCAGGCCAGTAGAGACCTTCAGGAGCAAATAAATATTCTCAGACAGGAGAAAACGGAGGAGGAGAATAAGGTTAGTCAGGCTTTGGCCAAAATCGAGAGCCTCCGAACACAAATTCTCGATCTGTCTGAACAGATTTCCCTAAAAGATGAAGAAATCAGAAATCTGAGGAACGACTATGACTCTGTAGACCACGAATTAAAGCTTGTGAAGGAACAAAATATTGAAATAAACGAAATGATCAAATCAAATCGAAAAGAGCATGAGGACACTGTTAAGAAACTTCAGCAAGAGCTTGACTCTGCTTCTTCAATTGCTTCAGAAAAACAAAAAGAAATGCTGGTTCTGTCAGAGGAGGTAACATCTCTTAAAGAGCAGATCTGCCATTACAGTGAAAATGAAGTGCAGAAACAACAAGAATTGTCTTTTTTAGAGGCACAACACAACGTGTTAAAGGAAAACATGATTTCTATTCAGAACCAGTTGGCCGAGGTGACAGCTACAGCTTCACAGAAGGAATCTGAGCTCCACTTGCTTCAGCAGGAGCTTTGCCATCAAGAAGCCCTGAGAGAAAAAGCTCAGGAGCTTGAGAAAGCCAGACGTGAGGAGCTTGAGAGGACCGTGAGTGAACTTCAGGCCACAATCCTAGAGGTCACCTCTCTTGTCTCAGAAAGAGAAGCTTGCCTAAGTTCTCTTCAAGATGAGATGAAGGATCAACAATTGAGGGCCAAACAGTGTGAAGATGATCTACGCAATGAGCTGAAGGAGAAGGTTGGAAATCTACATGAACTTCTAGACACTGCCAATCGTGATGCTGCAGACAAAGACCATCTTCTGCAGTCTTTGAATCAGAAGCTGAAGCAGGTGGAATTGCTGTGCCAACAAAAAGAGAAAGATGTCGTTGAGATGCATCAAGCAAAGGAAGACCTCGAAAAGAAGATTATTGAGCAGAAACAACAACTGGATGAGTGCCAGCAGAATTTAGAAATGCTGAGAAAAGAAAGAGACCATTTCTCCGTTCAAGTATCATCTCTCCAAGAGGAAATCTGCCGTTCCCAGCAAGAAGTGTCTTTGTTACAGGCTGACCACAACGTTTTGAAGGAAAATCTGGCTGCTCTTCAGAACCAGTTGGTAGAGGTGACAACCACAGTTTCCAAAAAGGAATCTGAGCTCCTCTTGCTTCAACAGGAGCTTTCCCATCAAGAGACCCTGAAAGAGAAAGCTCTGGAGCTTGAGACAATTAAACGTGAAGAGTTTGAGAAAAAGGTGAGTGAGCTTCAGGCCAAAATTCTAGAGGTCTCCACTCTCTCCTCTCGGAGAGAGGCTCAAGTAATTTCCCTTCAAAATGAGATGAAGGATCAACAATCGCTTGCCAAACAGTCTAAAGAAGATCTTCGCAGAGAGCTGGAAGAGAAGGTTGGCACCCTACAAGGAGAACTAGATATGGTCAATCGTTGTGCTGCGGATAAAGAAAAACTGCTGGGCTCTTTGGATCAAAAGCTCAAAGAGATGGAAGGGCTTTTCCTTCAAAAAGATAAAGATGTCCTTGAAATGCATCAGGCAAAGGAGGAGCTGGAGAAGAGGATTGTTAAAATTCATGTTGAGAAACAAGAGCTTTCCGAATGCCAGCAGAATCTGGAAATATTGAGAAAGGAAAGAGACCACTTGTCAACTGAAGTAACCTCTCTCAAAGATGAAATCCGAAATTACCAGGAAGATGAAGTGCAGAAGCAACAGGAGATATCTGTTTTAGAGGCTGAACGCAAAACATTTAAGGAGAACATGGATGCCCTTGAGAAGAAATTGGTGGAGGAAACAACTGCAGCTTCACAGAAGCAATCTGAACTTGTCTTGCTTAAAGACAAGCTTCACCAACTAGAGAGCCTTAGAGAAAAAACTCAGGAGCTTGAGACTGCCAAGCGTGAGGAACTTGAGAGAATGGTTAGTGAACTTCAAGTTAAAATCTTAGAGGTCTCCACACTAGCCTCTGAGAGGGAGGTTTGTGTTAATTCTCTTCAAGATCAGTTGACGGATCAGTTGAAGGCTAAACAGTCTGAAGATGATCTCCGTAGAGTGCTGAAAGAAAAGGTTGAAGCCCTTCAGGGACAATTGGAAACTGCCAGTCGAGACGTCTCAGACAAAGACCAACTTCTGCAGACTTTGGATCAGAAGCTGAAGCAGATGGATCTGCTGTGCCAACAAAGGGAGAAAGATGTCCTTGATATGCATCAGGTAAAGGACGACTTGGAGAAGAAGATTGGTGAGTTTGTTGTTGAGAAACAACAGCTGCTGGAGTATCAGCAGAATTTGGAAATGGTGAGAAAGGAAAGAGCCATTCTGTCAACTGAAGTAAACTCTCTCAAAGATGAAATCCGAAATTACCAAGAAATTGAAGTGCAGAAGCAACAGGAAACTTCTTTTTTAGAGACTGAGCGCAACACATTAAAAGACAACTTGGCTGCTCTTAAGACGCAAGTGGTGGAGTTGACAACTACAGCTTCTCAGAAAGAATCTGAGCTTCTGTTGCTTCAAAAGGAGGTTTGCGACAAAGAGAACCTTAAAGAAAAGTCTCAGGAGCTAGAGAAAGATATGACTGAACTTCAGGCTAAAATCCTAGAGGTCTCCACTTTTGCTTCTGAGAGGGAAGCTCAAATAAGTTATCTTAAAGATGAAATAAATGATCAGCAGTTAAGGGCCAAACAGTCTGAAGACGATCTCCACAGAGTGCTGGAAGAGAAGATTGAAACCCTTCAGGGACAATTGGAAACTGCCAGTCGTGACGTCTCAGATAAAGACCAAGTTCTGCAAACTTTGAATCAGAAGCTCAGGAAGATGGAACTACTGTGCCAACAAAAGGAGAAAGATGTCCTTGAGATGCATCAGGCGAAAGAGGACCTGGAGAAGAGGATTGTAGAAATTAATGTCGACAAATGTCAACTTAATGGGTACCAGCAGAATTTGGAGATGCTGAGGCAAGGAAAGGACCACCTGAGTTCTCTCAACCAGTCTCTCCAGAGGGAGTGTGACGCCTCTCAGAAGATTCAAGCTGAGCTGGAGTTGAAGGTAAAGGAGCAAAATGGTTCCATCCTTGCACTTAAAACGGCTTCTCAAAAGTGTGAGGAGCAGAATCAGGAACTCCTGGAGCAGCTGAAGACTAAGTCAGAAGCAGTAGAGCACTACAAAGCACAGGTCTGTTTACAATCACATCTTTCTTTGTTTTTTTTCTTCGTGCATATTTATGCATGATCATTTATGCATCATCACTTGCTATACTTCCTCAGGTGGAGAAGGCCAAGAATCATTACAACAGTAAAAAGCAGCTGCTGGTGGAAGCTCAGGAGCTCAACAAAACTCTCGAGCACTCGTTGGAGGCCAGCAAGAGGGAAGTCAAAGCTCTGGAGACGGAAATGACATTGGCTCGCATGGAACTAGACCAGGCGAGCACCAAGGAGAAGAACCTTGCGGCCAAAGTGAAAAGCTTGGAGGCACAAGTTAGTTTACTGCTTAATATTTAAAGAATGTGGAATTGAGACTGGATCGAGCTTTCATTTTTTTGAGTTTCCTGTCCAATTTCTTGTTTAATTGTGTGCTTGTTTTAGGTGGACTTTGCTGACAGGCAACTGCGAGAGCAGAAGATGATGGAAGACAAAGAGAACATGAGACACAGAGAAAGTCTGTACATCAGAGTCCCAGATAAACAGCAGGACACAAGTACAGACAGCTTGGAGTTTGAGCTGAACGATTCACTCAATGCTAACAGGTAACTAAACCAACCCAACTGTATAGGTTTCTAACATGGTATTCCATGGAACTCATGCAGCATCATTGTACATTTTTTCCCAATTTGGCAGTTGTTCTGCAGTACTGGGTGATTCCAGCACTCCACTGGTTCGTAGCTCTGAGCGCTTGGCCGCTAAACGTCGTGCCTTGGCGGCCGAATCCCTGGAGACTCTCTACTTCACGCCTTTGAGTCAACAAGGCAACAAGCGTAAAGGGGACCACAACGATGCCTTTGAACACAAACTAGAGTCCAGTATCACTTCCATTGGCGATCTTGTGGTTGACTCTGCAAAGAAGTTGATCGCTTCGGCTCGCAGGCGACGTACTACGCAAGTTATCAACATCACCATGGCTAAGGTAGGAAATGCACAACCTTCTACTTGCCTCCTGCACTTTCTTGGGTTCAAAAAAGGTTGTGTTGGCTCTTGTAAAGTAAGTCCCACCTTCCAAATCAAAGAGCCAATGGTTAATGCTCTTCGAGCATAAGAAACAACATTTATGAGACAATTCCTGTCAGGTGCCAATTTGAAAAATGTCATTTAAATGTGAGTTTGGCAAGCGGGAAATCCCTAGTATTTTATTTTCATCTTGCCTCTGTATAATACATAATAGGGTAGTATTTATAAGTGCAGATGCTGTGTTTACAGCGGTAACCAAGGAAATGCTATATAGCAGTAGGGCTGCACGATTATGACAAAAATCATAATTGTCGATTATTCCCTTGAAATTGTAATTGCGATTTATTAATTACGATTATCACAATTTACATTGATGTTTATACCATTGTTTGATGCAACTGCATGCCGTATTTTTTTTAATGAAAATAAACAAGTTGAAAACACGCTAACTGGAAAACTTTTAGTGCTT